GACCATCCAAAAAAACGATGGGAAAAAACAACACATAAAGCCATACATGCATCGACGAAATGAATCGGCGTATATGGAATTCAAATACTTTAATAATCAAAGAGTACCAGAGAGGGAGAGAGTTACGGATGAGCGAGCGACAAAAGAGATGAAGCGGAAGAGGATGGATCGAGAAAGAGAGGGTCGTAGCGGCGGAAATGAAGAGTAGGGTTGGGACGGTTAATTTATATCCTTGGGCCGGAAATATATTTGGGCCGGACAATTCATTGGGCTTATGACTAATACTGTTTCTATAAAATATATATATAAAATACTACTTCTCCCGTCCCACAAAGTTTTACACATTTTGACTAAATTGGAAATTAAAGGAGCGATAATTTTGTGTTGACTTTCCAAAAATAACCTTGATTTGATGTGTAAAAGTAGGATATGATGTGTAGACAGGGTTTGAAAAAGTAAGGGGTAAAAGTGATTTTTTAATAGAAATTAGTAGAAGATTGTGGGATGCAATTTTTTTGAAAGGTGTAAATCTTTTTGGGATGGAAAGAGTATATTGTTTCAATTTTATTTTTTTCATTTCAAACTTTATCAAGCTTGATGGAAAATAGTCAAATATGGACATATAGACAAATACTCAAGGAAGGGGTAGTATATTTATTGGATTAATATTTACTAGGTCGGATAAACATGGATGAATTATATGAACATAATTTACTCCCTCAAACTATAATTAAATTGCATGTTAACTTTTCTCACAGTTAAACTTCAATCACTTTTTTATTTGATTTTGTAATTTGATTCGATAATATAGTCATTTCCCCATTACTTTTAGAATATGTAATTTTTGTATTTTAGTTCTACATCTTTTTTCATATTAAATGATTTGAAATGAAATTGAGTAAAATGTTGAAAACCAAAAACGGTGATTCAAATATTTATTAAGTTATGATCTATCATATAAATCATTTTTTAATTTCTCATCCATCCACTTTATTTGAATCCAATTTATCTATATCATACCGAGTGAAATTTACTCATCGTTTCTTTAAAATAATAGTTAAATATTCTTATTGTGCAATGCACGGAAAGTGTAATTATATAATCTTTTCTTTTCTCCCTTTCTTTTTTCTATTTTTTCAATTTATATAATCTTTTCAAGTTTTTGTAATTTTTTTTTTGACCAAGCACAAATAAATCTTCATTGCAAAAACAACAATAAGGTCAAAAGACTAATATCGAAACAGACTAAACCAATCTACAACTCCAAAAAAACCATCTAAGTCCTTTTTCCTACCCTTTTGCCCTCAATTGATAAACCAACAATTTCACTAATACACCGAAATGTAAAATCCTCCTTGATTCTTTTGCCCTTATAAATCTTCTCGTTTCTAGCCTTCCAGATAAAATAGCAACATGCTGTAATGTATGCAGCCATGCGCCATTTCTGTTTCCTGCCTCTTCCCAGCTCCATCTTCTTCCCCAGTTCCTTAACGGATTCAGCCTGCATTTCAACATTAAGCACACTTGCCATATTCTCATGAATTGCTTTAGCATATGTACAAGAGCAGAAAATGTGATCAGCAGATTCCATCTCTTTTTCACATAGCACACACGTGGTATCGATAGGTAGGAATTTGCTAAGCCTATCCTTTGTTTGGATCCTCCCTTTCCAAATGAGCCAGGCAATAATCTGATGCTTGGGTACTGACCATCTGCTCCAGACCACCTCTGCCCAGTCCACTTTCTCCCTGATTCCTTTAAGCCAGTTATAGCCCTCCTTCACAGTGTAGCCATTAGCTGTGTTCATCCCCACAAAAAGCCTTCTATTTTGGATCAGTTTTTTCCAGTAATAACAGTCATCATTCTTCACATTGCATTCCCAGATTGTTCCTTGCTTGAGGTATTTGCTGTGCACCCATCTAACCCATAGTGAGTCCTTATTAGCAATATCCCATAAGAGTTTCATTGAGCAAGCTTGATTCCAGAATAGCAGATTTTTCAGCCCAAGCCCCCCCTCCTGTTTGGGAAGGCACACTTCCTCCCATTTGATTAAGGGGCATCTTCTGTGTACTGGACCAGAACTCCAAAGGAAATTTCTGCACAACGCCATTACCTTTCTCATGACTGAGTTTGGCAGTACAAAGATCCTACTCCAGATATCAGCAATACCATAGAGGACTGAGTTGATCAGCTTAGTTCTCCCTGCATAAGAGAGATGCTTAGTAGCCCAAGAAGTTATTTTCAGGGTCATTTTTTCAACCAGTTTATCACATTCTTTCTCACTAATGCGAGAATCTGAGATAGGAGCTCCCAAATATCTGAATGGGAAGGATCCTAAGGCCATATTTGTCTTATGCAGGATACTTTCCAGTATAGTATCAGAGACCCCACCCACATACACCTGGGACTTATCATAATTGAGCTGCAAACCTGTGATTTGTTTGAAATGATTAAGGCCAGATCTGCAAAAACAATGTTGATAAGTTTCAGCCTCTTGCATCTAGGATGGAAACTGAAACTCCCCCTGTTAGAATAGTAGCTGAAAGTTCTTGTTAGGTACTCCATAATAAGGGTGAATAAGAGGGGGGACATGGGTCCCCTTGTCTTATTCCTTTCCCTCCTTTGAAAAAACCAAACACCTCACCATCAAGTTGTACTGAATAAGCTGCACTAGTAACACAGAACCTGATCCAGTCAATAAAGTTATTAGGAAACTTCAAAGCATCCATAATCTGAAGTAAGCTCTTCTAGCTAACAGAGTCATAGGCCTTCCTCAAATCCAATTTCATAATACACCTTGGACTGATTCCTTTCCTTTTATATCCTCTAACTAACTCTTGGCAAAGAAGGACATTGTGCACCAACTCCCTGCCCTCTATAAAAGCACCTTGGTTGCTATTAATGATATGGGGGAGGACAGCTCTAAGCCTATTGCAAATGATTTTGGATATAACTTTATATACCACATTGCAGCAGGAAATAGGTCTGAAGTCCTTTGGGCTTTCAGGACTTTCCACCTTTGGGATGAGGCTGATATTAGTATGGTTAATCTGTTGGAGGGATAAACCATTTTGAAAGAATTCAAGAACAGACTTAGTCACCAGCTCACCAATCACTGACCATTGATTCTTAAAGAATCCACTGCTATAACCATCAGGCCCCGGGCTTTTACAATTTGGAATTTCAAAAAAACATCTCTTTATTTCCTCCTCAGTTACAGGAGCTATGCATTTTAGCTGTTGTTCCACAGAAAGCATTTTTCCTTCCCCAATGACCTCCTGAAGGATGTCTTCTGTCCACTCTGTCTTACCCAACAGTTTCTGGAAATAATCCACCATCACCCAGCAATGTTTGTCTTCCCTTCAATCAGATTCCCATTTGAATCCTTAATAGTATTAATATGGTTATTCATTCTCCTTTTCTTGATCCAAGCATGAAAGAGTTTTGAGTCTTTATCCCCCTCCAAGACCCATTCTTGTTTAGCTTGTTGATTCTTCATGAGTCTAGCAGCCTTTAGTTTCCATGTCAATTCCTTGATTAATTCTATCTCCTTTGTTATTAGATGTTCACACTTCATGTTCAACCTGAGTGCCTCTTGTACTTGGCTTAGCTCTTCTCTCAGCAGATTACATTGTTGGTAAATATGGCCAAATTTGCTCTTATTCAGTCCCCTCAATAAAGGTTTTAGCATTTTCAACTTGTTGTATAGTTGAAACATAAATCTGCCCTCCATCTTCTGGGTCCAGACATTCTGAACAATCATGGAAAACTGAGGATCAAGACACCACATATCACAAAACTTAAATGGAAAGTTCCCTCTCTCCATAGAACATTCTTTCACCAGTAGGGGAAAATGATCAGATAAACCTTCTTCCTTTATGATGACCTTAACATCAAAAGTGTTGAACCATTCTACATTTGCAAACACCCAATCTATTTTTGAAAATATCCTCTTTCCTGGACCTTGCCTATTAGACCAAGTGTATTTAGCACCCTCACTTGGGACTTCCTCCAACCCACAGGTTTGGATGCATTGTTTAAAGTCTTTGGTCTCTTCCAGTGAGACTGGGTTGCCACCAATTCTGTCCCCCATACCCAAAATGCTGTTAAAATCTCCTAGGACACACCATGGTTTATCACAAAAAGATGCTATACCCATAAGATCATTCCACAGGTTACATCTTTTAGCAGCCTCATTGTGTCCATACACAAAGGTTACATAGAACTCTTTAACTTCACCAAATCTTCTACATTTGCAGTGAACCCATTGGTCAGAAAGGCCCACAATATCAACCTTCATTCTATCAGGTTTCCATAACACCCAAATTCTACCCAGTGGATGAGCAGAATTATTAATAATAGAGTTCAACCCCTGACCAACCTTCATTTCTATTGTACTAAAATTACAGCTCCTTATTTTGGTTTCTAATAGCCCACATATATCAACTTTATTTTTATTTAAGAAAAGCTTAACATCCTCTTGTTTATTAGGACTGTTAAGTCCTCTCACATTCCAGCTTCCTATCATTTAAGGAAAGGGAGGTACCCTTCGTAATGGGCCTTCTCTATAGCTTTTTGAAGACTACTCAGCAGGTCACCGTCATCTTCTAATACAATCCTCCTGGCTGCTTTCTTTCCACTGACTTTAGTAAAGCCTTCCTCTGTCAGATTACTTTCTGTTGGAATAGGTTCCTCTTCATGTTTGCCCTCTTCTTGGATACCCTCCTTATGGTCATCCTTCAATTCTTCTTCATCTTCAGTTCCCTTTAGTTTCTTTGGCCTCCATACCATTCTTCTTGGATTATCTGCTTGCTTTTTCATTTCCTTTTTCCTACATGTCTCTTGCAGATGCCCCAGCTTCTTACAGTGGTCACAAATACAGGGATACCATTCATAGTCAATTCGTTGTGTTATAGCTCTCCCTTCTTCGTTTATAAACACAACTTCCTTAGGGAAGTCCTGGTGGACTCGAACCTCAATTTGAATCCTGGCATAAGCATACTTGGTTTTCCTAGCAGTTGCTTTGTCTCTCTTTATGGGCTTCCCAATGAGACTACCCAGCTTGCTTAGACCCGAGAGACTCCAATATTTGACATCCAGGTCAGGAAATTGCACCCAGATTGGGACATCAGTTAAATCCTCAACATTGATCTTCTTTCCTGGTTTCCATTGCTGGACAAAGACTGGTTTATTGTCAAAGTAATAGTATCTCCTTTTGGTTACTTCCTTCATATCATCCTCTCTATTGAAGGTTACAATATATTGTCCATCCTTAAGCACATCCACAGCATCAATAGGGAAATCTTTCCATATACGATTAACATATCCTTTAACCACTTCTATGGGTGGGTTGGCCCCCAGAATGCAACACACAATCATTGTTTTCCATATATCCGATGAATCAATAACATCATCTGGAGTGATTTGAGCAACTAAATTCCCATTTACCTCAATCGCAGGGATATACTTCAGAGATGTATCCTGATCTGCAATTCCAGCCACTATCTCAGCATAGGAAGGAATTGGATCTAGTTTCACCCTTTCTTCAGCAGTCTCCTTTTCTTCGCCAGATCCCCCATCAACATTACCAGAGCTCTGGTGGTTTGGAACTTCAGTCCCTATGTTTTGATCAGTCGGAGTCGTGGTCAGATTCGTCACTCCCGAAGGTGTTTGATTAGGCGTCGCCGTCGTCTTCTTCTTTGGTCTACCTCGTCTCCGCGACATGGCTAGAGCGAGAAAACCTCTTGTAATATTTTTCCTTATTCAAAATATTGAGTAATTATATGTCAATTAATAGCCCGTGCATCGCACGGGTACGAGTCTAGTGGTTCACAATGGAACCGCCTTAATAGGACTTTAATTTTCCAATCGAACGGTGTAGATTATAGAGAGGTGACTTGCTGTTCAATACATCATACCCGAGCCACACTGGAAGACTCGATACTAGACCGGTAAACCCCCCATTCGTCTTCGTCTAAAACCTCAGGTCAGTCTCCGTTCCAGCCTAACCTTTCCTCTCCATTTAAACTGCAGATACTTACGAAAAGCTTTGTTTAGATCCTCCTGCCGATTCTCTCTCCCAGTAAGTTGGAAGCTCTCCGTTTCATCCATTCCATTTTTTTGTTCGCGTGCGTATCTGTGTAAATCGGTCTATTTGCATTTGATTTATCTGTATCGATAAATTTCTCGGATCCGCCCATGAAGAATAACAGTTTTGGATTGTTGCTTGAATATTTCATTCAGTTGACGTTGTATATTGAAGTAATTTCTCGGTACTGCTTGCAAATATAGATGATTTTAGCGATTTTCCATTGAGGTGTTTGCAATTTGACATTCTCCTTACTCTGAGATTGTGTTTATTGAATAAGATACTGTATATGTGTATATACCATGTGTAATTGTCTATTAGATACGTAAATGAATTTACCTTTGATTGTTTCATTTTCCTATCAAGAGGATATTAACAGTTTAGATTGTTCTGTGTATAAATCCTAACTGGATTAGTTAAGTGAAGTTCTGATTGCTGTAGAATGAGACTCTGGTGATCTCTCTGAAGACACAAACATAATGGCCTGTCGAGCTCTTTTAAGGAGAAGGAAACTTGTTTCAGACTATTTGGAACCATCTGCCCGTTCATTTCAAAATTTTCATTACTTTAGTTCTCTTCAATCAACTCATTATTCTGGAGGGGTTGCCTCTGCTGGAAACTGTCTCTCTCAAGCTTCTAGTCATTTTGAAGACCGCGAACGGGGTGAAGGGGTTTCAAGCTTCCCCACTTCAACACTGTTATGGCATAGATCTGCTGGAGTCACATCACATGACCATGTTAACGTTGGAATCAAAATGCCTGTCAGATTGGATATCATCTCCCCAATGGGACATAAGTTGTTGTCTTCCACTGCTCGTTATTCTTCAGCTGCAACTGCAAAACAACCCGATAACAGAAGTGATGACGATGAAAATGAAGCCCAAGTTGCTAAAATGAAGAAAGAAGCATCTCCTGAGGAATGCGATCAAGCTGTTGAAGGGCTAAGTTCTGTTAAAGCAAAAGCAAAAGCAAAACGCCTCCAAGAATCTCAGAAGGTTGCCAAATCTGTCATACAAAGAGTATGGGCTACTCTTCTGGGTATTGGTCCAGCCTTGAAAGCTGTAGCTTCCATGAGCAGGTTAGATTTTTAAAAAATGTAAACTACTTTACCTGACTTTGTGGTTATAATTTGTTTTGATATCATGATTTTCCGTGCTCAGGGAAGATTGGGCCAAAAAGCTCACTCATTGGAAGAAGGAGTTTATTTCAACACTGCAACATTATTGGTTGGGTTCTAAGCTTTTGTGGGCTGATGTGAGGATCAGTTCAAGACTATTGTTAAAACTGGCAAAGGGGAAAAGCCTCTCTCGTAGGGAGCGGCAACAACTTACACGTACTACAGCTGATATATTCAGGCTGGTTCCTTTTGCTGTTTTCATCATTGTCCCATTCATGGAATTTTTGCTTCCAGTATTCTTGAAATTATTTCCCAACATGTTACCATCAACATTTCAAGACAAGATGAAAGAACAGGTAGTGTTCCACTGTTCAGCTTATCTTTGAAAGAACAATTATTTGGAAAATAGAAGATAATGAATATATGTTCGTAATTTTGGGCCTGGTGGATGAGAGGGGATTGGTTCTAGTTGAAATGGTGCTCCTGGGTTTGTCCCCCAAACATTTCTACTTGCATGGTGAAATTAAGAAAAGAGAATATGTGATTCTATCATTGCCTCTAGATGTTATTGCTGAAAGTTACATGTATTTATTCTCAAACTGACTGATATAAATTCTTACTGCAAAAGTATCTATGCTGAAAAATTTTGTCAATACTTGGGAACAATATTGACCCAAGGATAAGCACCTTGTGTAGTTTTTATTAAAAGAAGGGTAAGTCATAAACGTCATATGAGCTTGGTACAGAGTATATAATACAGTGTAATGTTTAACATAGCGAGTGATCATGGTGGGGGTAGTGGATTGCTGGACAGTAAGGGGTGGGATTATAGAAACTTTTTGGAGATAGACTGATAGAGAATTCCAGACTCCGTATATGTTAACGCAACAGTTTATTCTTGACATTTTATCAGAAGATATGAAGAACTAGCTCTTTTTTGAAGGCTGGGATTCTGGGAAGTGAGAATCATGCGCTTCTTTATATTCAATTGATCATGCGAAGTTATCATCTATTTATATTCAGAACTTGTATTGGCCATTGGGAAATAACTTGCATTTCTTGACATTAGTTTAACTTAACTACTAGTTCTCGAATGCTCCAATTAGTTCTATGGTAACAAATAACTTTGAGAGTGTGTATTGACCATGACCTTAGGCATATGCATTGGTTGATTTTTAACTTTTCTAACTAGATAATCCTTAAATAATGCACTTTAATTGCTTGGTTGATATTTAGGAAGCACTGAAAAGAAAGTTAAATGCAAGGATAGAATATGCAAAATTTCTTCAAGACACTGTCAAAGAAATGGCAAAAGAAGTACAGAATTCACAGAGCGGGGATGCAAAGAAAACAGCAGAAGATCTTGATGATTTCTTAGGCAGGGTAAGCTTACCTTCAAATACATCCCTGCATGTGTAACACCTACCTCCTCACCTGCAGAAATGGTGAAAAAGGGTAAAAGATAAAACAGGGTTGGAAATTTGATATTATGAATATTGTGTCTTTCAGGCTAGAAGAGGTGCTCGTGTCTCAAATGATGAAATTTTGGGGTTTGCTAAATTATTCAACGATGAACTCACGCTGGATAATATTAGCAGGTTTTGTGTATTACACTTTCTTTCACAAACTTGTTTTCTACTTATTTTGTGATCTTGCTTAGTGTCATTATTGAAACATATTGTCTGTTTCAGGCCTCGTTTAGTAAGTATGTGCAAGTACATGGGAATCCGCCCTTTTGGGACAGATGCTTATTTGCGATTTATGCTACGGAAAAGGTTACAAAGGTATGCCATATCTTCACCGTGTTACTTATGAAATTAGTCATGCTATTTTACTTTAGTTTATGTGAAGTATATTGATACAAGCTAATGATACTTTAGTCATGATATTGAGTTGAATTAGGGGTATTTCTTCCTAGTTGGACACTTTTGGGTTCTTATTTTTAATCAACAACAACAACCCAGTAGAACCCTGCAACATAAGGGTCTGGGAGGGTGTGGGTACGCACTCCTTACCCCTACTAAAAGTAGAGAGGCTCTTTCCAAAAGACCCCCAGCGCAAGCAACAATACTATTATATAATCGTTTTGAATATTTAAATTAGACAAAGACTGTTATATAGGCATTTATTGCAACACTAAATCTTAGGTATTGCATATGCCTAGCTGCCTAGGAATTTGGCATTCCGACATTGTAAATAATACTTTGTATTTACTGTTGAATCTTCTCCTTATGGAATGAGGTATTATTTATGGAGTACTGTTTAATTGAATCACTTGATTTAGGGAGTGTTTGCCATTGATTCTAATTTTCTTTATAATTAAAACAATTTTTTCTGATGTATCATGTATGAGAAATTGATTCCTTTTTTAGGCTTAAAATAGACACTGAAGCATTTGGAGCTTCTTTTTGAAATCAATTCTCCTATAAGACGATTAAAAGGGTTTGGAATAAGCTTCAGGGAAACGTGTCACCACATGCTTCTATAATTCTGATTCTCAGCGCTTCTTTGAAGTGATTCTAGAGTACTACCCCTCCTCTAAATGTAATTATGCTTTTAAGTTTTTTTTGGAGGAGATGAATCTACTTTGAGTAGCACTCACATATACCCACTTTGATTTATTGACTTTGTTGGCAAGTTCAGCTACTAAGTATGTTATGGTTTTATTCAAGTATATATGGCTTGCAGTTTACATTTTACATATATCATTTTTTTGCATTCTACAATTCCCCTTAAAAGCGATTCTTATATGAAGATGAAGGTGAACATTTTATCTTGTTAGGATTAAGAATGATGATAAGTTGATTCAAGCTGAAGGTGTGGAGTCTCTATCAGAAGCTGAACTCCGTGAGGAATGTAGGGAACGTGGCATGCTTGGGCTGCGTTCAGTAGAAGACATGCGCCAACAGGTGCTCCCTCAATCTTCTCTCTTAAACCCTTCTTTTTCCCCTTGTCCAGATAGGCATATATGGACAACTTCTACCAAATGCTATTTCATGTAGTAAGTGCCATAGTTCTTTTATATTTATTTGTAATATTAGCTATCTGTTAATTTGCTAACCCACCACAACTCAATCATACAAAGTCATCTCAGCAAGTAAAGGGTTTGGCTAAAAAGATTTGGTTAGGTGGCTTTGATACATGCCATGGACTTCTGTGTCAGTTCTCATTTATAGTGTTTGGCATGCACCTTTTGCTCTTTGATGTCAGCATCTAGCAACTGTAAAAAGCCACTGTTTACACCCCCCTAAAAAGGAGGAAGAAGAATACATAGAAGTGACTTCTATTGTATTGGTGCAGCTTTACATTTCATTTTTATTGTTGTGCTTCTAATTGAATTGTTTCTTCTTGCTTCAGCTTCGTGACTGGTTGGATTTGTCACTCAATCATGCAATACCATCTTCATTGTTGATCTTGTCTAGGTACATTGATTCAGATACACGTAGACACAAACTGCCACATGACATTCAAACACATACACAAGCAGAAAAGTTTTTACTTTACATGAACTGAATTCTGATAGTGCACCACTTAGTTTATTTCCATTATGCTCTACACAGAGCCTTCATTGTGTCTGGAAGATCCAAGATAGAAGAGGCTGTTGGGGCAACGCTATCATCACTTCCTGATGAGGTTGTAGACACTGTGGGGATTACATCCTTGCCCTCTGAAGATTCTGTTTCAGAAAGGAGGAGGAAATTGGAATACCTTGAGATGCAAGACGAACTTATCAGAGTTAGTGAATTTTTACTTAACTTACTAAACTTGCTTATTTTATGTTCTCTTGTGTAATTATTTCTCGAAAGTGTGGCAACCTTCCCAAACCAAGTAACTGGACGTGGTTAACGGAGGCAAGGAGTTCCGTTGTCCACCATCCAGTCATACACCCCAAAGTATCCTACCCGTTTAATGTTTTACTAAGAATTGATTGGATATAATCCATCCATCCATCAATTAGTTAAATGGTTAGTGCTTCACCTGTTGTGTTTAATCAACTTGATTACATTACAATCCATTAAAATCCATGTGACCAATTGGATATTCTCTATTTATTAAGGGCTTATGGCTTTGTTTGTTTGTTTGTTATTGATGTTCTAAAGTATCATCACATGTGTTTCTCTAGTATCTCAACAAGAAAATAAATACAAATGTATGGATTTGATTTCAAATATTTTTCAATGGATCATTAGGGGATCCTTATCAATCAATCACTTTTTATACAGTTGGTTTTGGCAGGTTGGATTTCAACCTGAAAGATGGGTCCAAACATGTTGCATAAAATCCAAGCTCTTTTTGTTTATTGAACTTCTATCTTTTGATTTCTCAAGTGGGTCAAAAACTCTGACCTTTTAGTAAACCAAAGGGTGCACTTCTGAGTATGCTCTATTTTAAGAGTGCTCTATAAAACAAATTAGAAACAATATTTCCTCTCTTCTGCAATGAAATTCAAAATTTGTCTTCGCATAATTTAAGAAATCTGCTGAAAAATGAATAGTGTATGATTAGAATTGCTTTAGACGTTAGAAGAAAGAAAAATGTTATTAGATATATTCCTTTGCTAAAGAGGAAATGAGAAAAATCTAGTTTACTTTGAAATAGACAAAAGAAAAATATAAACATCATTGCGTTTTTTATGAAAAATAATTAGTTTATTAGTGGATCATAAGTTGATTCGCTCTTCTTATTACTTGTCAAACTCAAGTACTCGACATGTAATTAATTTTGGCATGTATAAGATTCCTTTTTTCATATTCTACCATTCATTATCTGATTTTTTGCCATTCTATTTTACAAGCTACAATCCCAAACTTGTACGCGTATTATTTCCATTTTGAGGTAATCACAGATTNCCCCCCCCCCCCCCCCAAAAAAAAATCCTGCTTTTTCTTTAGATTTTGCCAGGACAAGATGCCTCTTTCTTTAGAAGAGGATTGTGTGGTTCACATAATTTCTCTCTACTTAAATTTCAGCCTCACTATGCATATTGAGTTTCCTAATAGGTGTTGGATCATACCCAAATCCTTATTTTCGGATGGAAGGAGTAATTTTTAACTTTTTTGGGAAATCCGTAATCTTTAAAAGTATCACTGTAATTTAAAAAAAAATTCAACCTACATAGGAGGAGGAAAAGAAAGAGGAAGAAGAGCAAGCCAAGAAGAAGAAGGAATCTGCTGGCAGTGAAGATGATGTTGCTTTGAAGGAGATGGTTATTCCAACGGCTAGAGATGCCCAAGAGCAAGCTAGGGCAAGAGCACTTGACAAACAAGAGGACCTATGTGAAATTAGCCGTGCCCTAGCTGTTCTTGCTTCTGCCTCTGTGAGTGGACTAAAACCTGCTCAACTTTTGTTAATTTTTGCATTATGTGTTAAATATTGCTATCTTACAGTGTCTTTGTTCTTTGAAATCAGTCTGTGAATCGAGAACGGGAAGAGTTTCTAAGGCTTGTTAATAAGGAGGTATATTTTCATTTGCGGTTTTTAAGTTTCATTATCCAGTAGAGAGGAAAAATGAATCTAATCTTATGCCTCACAAGAATTCAATCAGCTTTTTTTTACTGAAAAGACTTGATCAATTTTTGTTGTTTTACTTGATTATATTACATGCTGGCCTCTTCATTTACAAGGGAAATGGTTGGTTGACTTCTGTTGGTTTACTTTTTCAATGGGTGAAACATACTTGTATATACCTTCTTTGGAAGGGATTAAGGGACGAAAAGTGATTTAGTATTACAAGCTAGAAGACTAGGACTCTTGCATTTAATCTTGCCTGCTGAGCAACTAATATTTTTCATTCTTAGTAGATTTCCATATCTAGTGGCCTTGTAGAAGTTTTCTATTCTCATTTACGTTCATTGGCATTTTTATCAAGTATTATTGAACTTGGAGATGCTAGGTATCAATGCCCACTTTCATTGTATGAATAAATGGTTTCAACCATTTTGCAAAAAATCTCTTAATTTTTAGTTGCACTTACATTTACTTTGGACTAGGGCTGTTCATCGGTCCAGGTCTGGATCGAAGACCGACATGGGAAAAAATTAGGACCAAAGACCGGACCTATACGTAGTCGGTCTTAGACCGGTCCGGACCGAAAACCCTTGGACCAAACTGGTATAGACCGGAAAGACTGTTTCTTTTTACAATTGGATTTTTTAAATGTTGTATATGCAAAACACTACAAAATGTAATTGCACAAAAAAAAAAGTAATTTGCAGCATTCATTCACCATTTGGACCGTTTATAGGCAAGTCTTTTCTATTATCTGAGCAATATTCTAGTGTGCCCCGATTTGAGTTGCCAGTATTAGTTTGATACTTACCAAAAAGTGTACCATCTTCAGATAGAACTTTACAACAGCATGGTAGATAAAGAAGGAACTGTAAGTGAAGTAGATGCTATGAATGCATATAAAGCTGCTCGTGAAGAAAGCAATCAGATGTCCGAAGTTACTGCACATGACGATGTGTCTTCTGCTCTTGTAGAGAAGGTGAGGCTTCCTACTACAATACTACATATAAAACCCCTAGTCAATTTCAATACCCCGTAACAAACTTAGGGCCTTTTTAGATCCCTTATGTGGGTGTTTGGTGAAGCCCCAACATAGTTTGATATCTTGGAGATACGAATCCTGAGGTTTTGATATCTCCCTCAACTACCTGTCGCCACCGCCAGCCACCATCCTTTGCCACAGATGGCTGCCCGCCATTGCCGGCTACCTCACTTGTCACTACAACCATATCAGGTTTCAGAGCTCTCCAAGTACTTTCATTTTAGATTTCAAAACCATGTAATTTCTTCAAGATTTCAGAATACATGTCATATCAACCCTCCTTTGCTCACCAAATGCGCCCTTAGGAAAACCCAAACCAAAGATGTCTCACTACAGTGGTTTACATGGAACTTATGCTTTTTGGTTTGGTCTGTTTCAGGTTGACGCAATGCTTCAGAACCTTGAGAAGGAAATTGATGATGTGGATGCGGAAATTGGTGACCGCTGGAGAATCCTTGACAGGTGAAATAGAAAGCAGCATTAAATTATTTTGAGTAAATGCTAAGCCCTTAGTTGGTTGCATTGTTTTGAATTGAGTGGGAGGGGTGGGGTGATATTTAGTTTTTTAATTTAATTTTACATATAAAGGTTGGAAAGAAATTGGAGATGAAAAAATCAGTTGAAGTTCATGATTTAATTGAGGATATAGTTATTTTCTAATACGTAGTACTCCGTATTAGATTAAAAATAGAGTTTAATCACTAAAACAAAAAACAATTGTCCCTTCCAAAACCTCCAATCAAACACACCTTAAATTTACGTTGATGTGATCAAAACATTTGATCTTCATTCATCAACATGTACAGGGACTACGATGGGAAGGTGACTCCAGAGGAATTGGCAGCTGCCACCAATTATCTGAAGAAAACTTTGGGAAAAGAAGGGATTCAAGATTTCATTGCCAACCTCTCCAAAGATGCAGGTTTGTTGCCATTAACTAACGCCAAACCTATTTTGCATCAATGATTGTTTTTTTACACGGTCATGGATTGCTTCTAATGCTAAATACAGATTTCCAATTCTCAAGCCTGATTTTATTTTTTGAGGGTGGTAAAATGTGTATTTCCATGAAACTAGTCTACATCTCTACCAGTAGAGTTCCTAGTTGCATTCTCACTTCTTTACAAATGCAGATGGGAAAATTCGTGTGGAAGACATAGTCAAATTGGGCAGTCGCATAGAGGAAATGAGGTCAGATGACATGTAGCTAAAATATATTGAATAGCTCCATTTTACTACTATGAAACAGTCATTGAACTACCCATCTGGGCTACCCCATCTTGCTTGCCAAGGTTTAGTGCTTATATAGATTCTATTTTTGCCAATTTTAATATTTCCTAAAAGTGTTCTTCATATGGTACGATGAAATAGCAACCTTACCAGCTTTTGAGAAATTTGGAAACATGAATTATGAGCACGCTACCAATTGAAGTTCAAAATGGGTTATTAGATAGTTTTTTCTCAACAATTTAGTATTCTATGTTCTTTACCTTTTATTGTTCCCTTGAAAACACACGTAGAACACCGTTTTAGCTGTACCTATTTTATTGTTCAAAATGGGTTAGACAGTTGAAATGTATGCATAGGAGATGGAATTGATATGGATCATACAGTTGTTAGCTTTAACTGGAATAGGACAATAGTAAAAGGATAATTTGAAAAGGGAAAGTGAGACGATAAAAAGGGGATGGATGGAGTAACTAAAATGGGCATTTTTATTCGGTTGGCTATCATTTTCACTTGTTAATGATTAACTCAATGTTTTTATGTCTAGGAATATTTTGTAGGGATGTTACGTGCGATGCATATATTAGATATCTCCATTCTTAGAGTATACAGTATGGAGTTTGAATTTGTAATTTATATGCAAATTTTAACATCAAAGCAAAGTCTCTTAGCTGGCTCTAAAGCTTGGTAAAATGTTGTGACTAATTGGAAATTGGTTCAACAAGAGCCATGTGGGAGATGAAATTGCTGATATTCACATCAGAACTTCCTCCTTCACTTGTGGCCTCTTCTGCCAATCTTTTCCACTTTGCAGCATTTCTCCATAACTCCTCGGCCCGCACTCCTTCTGTTGCTTCCTCTATGGAACTTCTGATTTGATGTCTGGTAATGATTTTCGTCTCGCTAACCTTAATTCGAACCCCAACCTTCCAAACGTCCTCAATAAATTTTGCATTTGTTTGTTGGTCTTCTTGCTGGGGGATGCCTACCATGGGCACGCCCAAGGTAAGTGCCTCGAGTGTCGAATTCCAGCCACAATGGGTCATGAAGCATGCGATCGCATGGTGTGACAAGACCTCAACTTGAGGACACCACCTAACGATCACACCCTTCTCTGAAGTCTTTGATTTGAAGTCTTTGGGAAGCTTGGTTTCTTCGGATTCCCTAACAATCCACATGAAGTATTTGTTGGAGTCAACCAGCCCCATGGCTATTTCCCCCATTTGTTCTTTTGACAAGACCACAAGGCTCCCAAATGATACGTAAACCACGGATTTTGATTCTCTGTTGTCTAACCAGTTTGGGTAAACTTCATTGTCTAGCTTGAATAGATCTATTCTGTCTTGTTTTCCATGCATCAATCTCTTAGAAGGTGTGGGAACCAGTGGCCCTATGGTCATCACCTTCCATCTTGTTGCCATTAACTTCACCACCTATATAGAGAGTGTTTTATTATACAGTATAATATACAAGACCATATGTCTACATGGAGAATTCAAACACAATCTTTTGAACTAAAAACTTCACTACCGCGGAGTATATTTTCTTCCCAAGGGGAACCAGAAATTGAAGGAAAATCCCAAGGTGAGTAGGGAGGGAGTGAAGAATATCGAAGAAGAAGAAACTCTATTCTTGTTTGGTAAGGGTACTCTCAGTCTAAAAAAATTCTTCTTTCTTTTTTTCTTGTCCTATAAAATCATTAATTTTTCTATTAAAAATTACTTTTATCCCTGTTAATTCTTAACGTAACTATCACGTCATATCTTTTTATTTATAATCGACCTATCATATTATACTTTTACCTATCAATAGTATTCTTGGAGGCTCAACACAAAATTATTCTTCTTCTAAAAGTCTAAGTGGGAACTCTTGTATAGGATGGAGGAAGTGGAGTATCAAATATCAATGATGGTGGAAACACTGTCAATCGATATAAAGTTGATCAGCCATTATTCAAATTATACTTTCGAAAGGCCTTTAAAATTAGTGGTAATCTACTTCAAGGGTATATTATTTCTATTTGGCCGTTAGGATTAAAAGTTCTGATATTTTGATAAATACTAAATTATATCTTGATAATCATTACTTTATTAAATTTAAATAAAATCTTTCAATTTGACAAAGTAAAAGAATTTTCAATCTTAATGCTTAAGTGAACAGAATGTACACTCGGAGTATTACGTCACCAACTTTTAAGACTTCAGAGTATATTTTAGATGATGTGAGACTTGAAGAATGGAAGAGAAATCATTTTTCTATTCTTTTCTTTGCATATTTATTTTCTTTTCCTTTCTAAACAAACACAACGAATTGAAAAAAATAAAGAAAAAAAATCATTTTCACAAACAAACACCAAAAATTCATTTTTAAACCATTTTCTTATCTTCTCCCTTCTAGATTCTTTCAAGGGGAAAAAGATCTAAAAACAAAGCATTTCAATTAGGAGTATGTTTTTTTCATTATAGTATTTAAATTTTTTTATTTCCAAATAGTACTTGAATTATGATAGTACTGAAACAATATCAACTGCGGTCAACATTTACATGAACAACGTACAATGACCATTACAATGACCATTGAACAGGAACACTATATTAAAAAATTAAAAAAAATTGTACTGTATTAAAAAACTCACTACCTTTTAATACTATATAACTTAAATTCTCCTTCAATTAGTTAGACTTGAAATTGACATTATAACGCTTTCGAATTGCGTGGGGGACGAGGTAAAAAAGGACGCAAAAAACTTTTAGAAAAATGTCAAATGGCATAAAAATGGACCCAACTTTGTCATATTACAATAAATAAGGGTTGACGAAGCAACAAACTGTGTTGGTGGTCACAATTAATACAGTAAATCCTATCTATCTACCTTAAGCCCTGTCTGTCTTCAACTTTTGTCAAGGTGGGGACTGGGGACTACTTTATTTAATTTTGATTTTTTGTAATTCAAATTTTAATACTCCGTATATTTTTAGTCTAAAATATTTTTTAAAATATTACTCTCTCCGTCCCATTTTATAATGTTTGTTTCAAATTATCAAACCATTTTATATAAAAAATGGTATAGAATTAAAAAAAATACATATTAAAAAATTACATCAAAAGATCTACAAAACTAGTAATGATAATAGTATTTTATTTTATCAAATTACTAACAAAATGAAGTTTGACTCTGTGAATAGTGAACAAACATTATAATTTGGGACGGATGAATATTTTACTTATTACGTTATTGATATTGTTATGTAATTTTTATTTAATTATATGTAAAAGTCAATTTTGATTGAATACAGAAAATCAAAATGGGAGAATATTACTACCTCTGCCCTTGGGTATTTGTTCAGTTTTGATTTTTTTCAGTCAATTATTTTCAACTTTTAACATATAATTAAATATAATATATTTTATATTAAATAGATAAAATAATATTTTAAAGATATTTTATACAATGAATGTAATAAAACTATTTTGTATCAATATCTAATATTATTTTTATTTAATTTGATGTCAAAGTTTTTCAATTTTGACTAGAAAAAATCAAAAGTGGACAATTACCCGAGATGGAGGGAGTATGAGATAAAATTAAAAAGTACGAGTAACATCGAAATTACATAATCCTGATATGGTTATAGTGGTGGTGTGGGACGATGTGCTTAATTAGAGGCTTCTTGCGAAGGGCACAGATGGCTGAAATATAATAATTGGACTCCATCCATGACACTGATATGGTTAAGATCGTCCTTTTTTGACAAGCGTGAACTGATGGTGGAAATTAATTCTCCCTCCGTTTTTTAAAATACTTCCTCTTTCATTTTTTTCACTTCCAACAAAACACTTCCATTTTCTATTTAAAAACCACTTTTACCCTTACTTTTTCATACCCTACCTATCACATCATACTTTATCTCTAATAATCTATCCATCACATCTTACTTTTACCTATCACATCAAGGACAAAATTGGAAGTCAACTACAATTTAGGGAGTGTATTCAATTGGGAGTCTGCAGGATTTTTTTGGACTTTCAAAATCTGGAGGTATTCAATCTAGATTTCCAAAAATCTTAAAAAATTCTGAGGTATTCAATAAAGATTTTAAAAAGTCTTAAAAAATTTTTAGGTATTCAACCATCAATGATTTTTAATACTCCACAGATTTTGCTGGATTGTCACCCAAAATAATGCTTATCTCAAATCCCCTTCTAAGGGGACATCAGATTTCCATGGATTTTGCAGCGGGGAGCCTGGAATTGTGAGAATACCTTGCTCCTTCTCATCCCCTGCTTGAAGACGCTTTCCTCCTAACCCTTCTCCTCTCGTGCTCCATCATCTTCTCCTCTTCTCCTCATCCCCCCATGCCGCCGCCTCCACTCCTCCGACGAGCACCACCGGCGGCGGGACATTGTATGGGCATTTTGACCTCCACGAGTTTTTCGGGCGCTCAGAGCCGACGGAAAGGTTCCTGAGGAAGAAGGAGAGGGCCCACTTGGGGTGGATGAGGGGCTTGGGGTAGAGGAGTGGCGGGTAGTGCCAGTTGAGGTAGCAGGGGACTTGGGCGGCGATGAAGTACTGTGAGTGGAGCGGCGGCGGTGACGGTGCGGGGCTGGTTATGATGTGGGTTAGGGCATGGAGTTTTTGCTCCCAATTCATGTCCTCCATTAATGGCTTCTTGTTTCTTTCTTCTTCCTCTGTCTTCTCAAAATTTGCAGCTGTCATGGCCGGATCGGAGTCTTTGCTGGCATGGAGTCTTTGCTCCCAATCTATATGCCGGATTGCCAGAAGGGAATGCACCTCAAAATAGAAATCCATCGACTCTATGAAATCTATCTCAAATCAATAGAAAAGTTGGACAAACTCTACATGGAATCTATTGACTTTCTAAATTCACTAACTTTTTAGAGTCTAAAAAAATCCAATACAATCTCAATTGAATACACCCCCCTTAATATTTCTTTATTTTTACACAAAGTCAAAATAGGAACACTTTTTCCAAACGGAGGGAGTAGTACATTGAGATTATCTTCAACGCAATCCAATGTGGTATGGAGAATTTTTCTTATTTTACACAGATTATTTCTAATTGAAAGACAATGATGCGAGACTTTAACCTCTCACATTGTCAGTTGTTAGAAGATCAGCGAATTGAATTAAGTTGGTCATTTATTTTCTCGAGCGTCTGATTCAAAGACTAATTGGTTGTAGTGGGTTCATATCCTTCCTCCCACATTCATTTAAATACTTCCTCCGTCCCAAAAAGTTTGTTACGTTTAGAAAAAACCGCGTCCCGTAAAGTCCGTTACATTTCTATTAAAAAACCACTTTTACCCCTTACTTTTTCATACCCTACCTATCACATCATACTTTTTTCCTAATAATCTACCCATCACGTCCTACTTTTACCCATTACATCAAGGGTATTTTTGAAAAGTCAATACCAAAATATCACTCCCTTAATTTCCCAAAAAGTCAAACTGTCTCATTCTTTTTGGAATGGAGGTAGTATATCTTTTCATAATATTTTTGATAAAAATGTGACATAGTTTGACTAACGAAATCAAATTGTGACATTAATTTTGGATGTGGAGAGTAGAAATTCAATTTTTTTTTCCAATATCTGGAGACTATTTGTTGGTGATTTTAGTGTCATCAATTTATTTTGTGTAATTGGATTTACTTTGATCGGACAAGAATTTAAATAGACGTTGTCAAACGAGTTAGGAGGTGCGGAGTGCACGCTCGTTTAACGATATTATAAATTCAGTGCAGGGGTCCGGGGGCGGCAGCCCCTGGCGGGGTCCAAGGGGCAGAGCCCCTGCTGGCCGGGGTCAGCTTGGAAATTTTTTATTTCGGACGTTGTTTCTTTAAGAAAATCCTTAAGATTTTCGTGATCGGAGTCCAAAACGGTAAATGACTCTTACATAATGGATAAACGTCGAAATTAAGCCTTCAACCGCAGGAGACCTTTCGTTCAAACTCGCACCTTTCTTCTTCTTGCGCGAACGTACGCGTACATCTACGCGAACGTTCATGTCCGATCACAAGGTTTTTCGACTCTATAAAATAGAGTCTCGTGGTATGGGTTGAGTGACAGATTCTCGAGTGCTTGTTCTGAATTAACGTCTTATCCGATTGAAGTATTTCGTATACCCCGAAATAACTTTGATCTGAAAGCGTTTCTTACGCGATTCGTTATTCTATCGAGTTCTTCGATCAACACTGCTTCACAGTGTTCTTCCTTTTCTAACTCCAACACTATTTGTATGTAAAGGTAAATGTTTACTAACGAAAATAAGATTTGAAAGTACTCCGTAACACTTACTAATTAATGTGACAACCGGAAGAGGGAGGATTGAAAAAATGAAAATAGTCACCTTTTTTGCTAAGAAACAATCTCTCATTGTCTTCACAATATAATGAATTTGTCTTCCATTTTTTTACTATGCATTTATAATGAGAGGTGCATCATTAATTAATCTTTTGATCATTGTCAAAACTTAACAGTATCTTCATACAGCATAATAATACTGATGGATAGACACAACGGAAGGATTTATTACTAAAAAATATCCGCACATTGCTTGTATAATTTGTTCCCGAGAAAAAGATTTTTAATTATTATTAACAAGTTAAACTAACTCTATATTTTATACTACCTCCGTTTCAGAGTATTTGTCCACTTTCATTTTTACACACCATCCAATACACTTCTTTAATCTATTTTATCTTGTAATTGGTATATAAAAAAATTATAGAAATTATATATTAATAATCTATATGTTAAGACAAATCAAACAAGATCACACATGACTATATTTAGGCTTACACATTGATAGAATTTGATGAGTCAAAGTGCTTAGATGAACAATTCAAGAAATCAAAACTGGACGAATACTCCGGGACGGAGGGAGTACTACCTTCATCCCATAAAAGTTTGTAATGTTCACAATTCCAATGAAAACTTTTATCTTAAGAAATTCTAACCACATTTTTAAATGAGAAATTTACCTAAATAAGAATAAAACATAATGACTTTCTCAATATAGGATCATATTTTTTTATTTTCCAAAGTAGGACCTTTGTCATTATCAATTAATCATTATTCAACTAAATGTCCATCATTACAGGTAATTATTCTAGAGGCGGATCTAGGATTTTACAACCATGAGGTCCTCTACCTTTCATTCTCATCTCAAACTACGCAATAAGTCATTTAACAATAAACTAAAACTAATATTTGAAAAGTATCATAATTAATACATAGAAATAAAGTCATACGAAAATAATATCGTTTACATTTGTACTTATCTATTTTTCATACTTTTGAAGTGATCTATAATTAGATCATCACTAATGGTGGAAAAGATATTTCTCTCAACATAAGTTACCAAGCAATCATTCAACCATTGATCACAAATTTTATTCCGAAATTCATTCTTCACAAACTTTATTCCCGAAAAAGACCGTTCAACACTTGTTGTTGCCACAGTACAAACCTAATACCTATATGGACCTACACTGGAGTCCGTGGGGTCCCGGACCCCAAAAGACTCAAGGTGGGTCCGCCTGTGATTATTCCTTTCACTTGATATTATTAAGTCCTATTTAGGAAATAAAAAAATTCAAGTCTTACATTGATAAATGACTTATGTTTTAGTGTAATTTCACTTTTTAAATTAACACATAATCCTTAATTACCTCTGGTTCCAAAGCGTCAAATGTGTTGAACAAAAGGCAGTCAGCTTGGTGCATGTTGGAGGCCTGGTTCCCCGCAAACACCGCCACTTCTTCCGCAATTTCTCCGAAGTACGAATAGGACGGCAGGTCGCCGGAATCCATCTCCGGCAAGCAAGGAAACCGCAATACTCTTTCCTCCTCCTCTTGTTCCGCCCGACGACGCCCGCCTTGAAGCATCGCCATGCGGCGGTGGTAGCAATGGATGCTGCAAACCGACGCCGTCTGGGTGAAAAACGCCGCCACCCGAAACCCGGCCGCCCTCCCCACCTCCACTAGCCACGGCATGAAGGAGTCGTACACCACCACTCCTTCTCCTCCGCCGCCGCTCTTCTTCTTCTTCTCTAAGACCGCGGTGACATCCTCGGAGACGGCAGCGCGCATGCAGGCGACGTACTCGCCGAAGCTGCGCGGTGGGTCTCCGACGTCGGTCCCGTCGGAGATGAACTCGACGGCCGCCGCGGCCTGGTCGGAGAGGGAGGATTGCATGGACTTGGCGACGGAGTGGGTGAGGAGTAAGGTGACTTTGACTCCCCTGGCGGATAAGCAGTTGCACAAGCGAAGCATGGGGTTTATCTGGCCTTGATATGGGAGTGGAATGGCTATCACATCCATATCCTTAACTAATTGCACTAATTAATTAACAATCTAATTCTAATCACCTCTTAATTTGATCTTTTTTTCTCTTATTGCTGCATGCAAATGTAACCACCAAGACAAGGTAGCAGGCACACTATATATATTCCCTTCCTCTCCTATCTTTTTTTTGCAGTGCACTATTCAAACTTCACAAAAACTTTTATCTGTTTGTATTTTTTCATAGAGTAAATTCTATAATTCGTTCTTTATAACAAGGGGGTTTTCTTATTTAGTCCTCTATTATCAAATATTACTCTAGTGGTTCTTCTTTTATGGGTACCTTTCCACAAATAGTTCTTTTTTTGATCTTCTATCATGTTGGTGTTAATTTGAGGGCTAAAAGTGTAATTTCACAATGACAATATATCTTTTTTGTCATACACAATTCCAAAGGCTGTTTCGTTAGCGTCGTTTGTGAATTACAGTCGCTTTTTACGACAACTATAGTCTACAAATGTGATCTTTCGTCAGAATCCTAGCCCACAATCATAGTCATTATTTTTGTGTTATCCGCTTAACCAATATCAGAACACGTTACTAGACATAATGCTGATGTCAAATTATACTTTTAGCCTTTAAATTAACACCAATACGACAGAAGATCAAAAAAAGGACCATTTGTGGAAAGGTACCCTTTAAAAAAGGACTACGAGGGTAATTTTTGATAATAGAGGACTAAATATGGAAACCCCCTGTTATAAAGGACCAATTATGGAATTTACTCTTTTTCATATCTTATATAATAAATAATAAAATATTATTATCACTATTTGTTTTATAGGACTTTTGAAGTAGTTTTTCAATGTGTAAATTTTATTTTTGATTTTATATCAATGTTTAAATAAAATCAATTGAAAAAACTTTAAGAAAAATTTGTTTTGCGGAAAAAATATGCAATCTGGAAGCTCACACCCTTCAATTTAGTCTATAACACAATATATTTTTGTCACATAATGTGAATAAAGTTTAAAAACAATAAGCAATAAAAGTCAAAGCAAATGAAAATTAGGAGATTAGAGAATTAAATAGGGAGTAACATTTGTGTGACTTGATTCATCGCTTTTATTCTATTTTTCTTACTTTGCATGTACCTTCCTCTCTTCTTGTCCCTATAATAGCCAAACATAGAAAGCGAATCAAATCCAGAGCATAAATATTTTTTTATTTTAATTTATCTATAAAATATTTTGTTTAATTGATATTTTAAATATGCTTCTACATGATAGCACTTAAATTAATTTTCTTGCTCTTCTACCGAATGACCCTGATGGGTATATATCAGGGCTCAGGTTTAGGCCCGATGTGGGTAAACGTAGTAGATCCGTAATACCCAGCCCACCAAGGGAGCTCGCTCGCATCAAAGGTATCAAATCGCCCGGTCCATAACTTAGGCATTGCCCACATGAGAAGGATATGGGCCGAACCTGTAATACTCCGTAAACTACAATTGTCTTCGTATCATCTTGTACGGATCGACTTTCTCCACAACAAAATTGTGTTTTTCGACCATTCTTAGAGGGTGTTTGGCTGTGCGCTGCTTTTAATAGTTTAGCTTCTGCTTTGATTGAAAGTGATTTTATTCTGTTTGGCAGATCAGCTTCTGCTTTTCACTGCCACTATTTCGTACTCAGAACACGGTTTCGGAGAAGCATGTATGAGTTGCTTTTGCTTTCAGCTTTTGTAGAAATCACTTTATCCAAAAGTTAATCCCTCCCAAACAAGCTCTTAACCAACTACCTTCGTCCCTCGTCCTATAATAGATTATAATCTTTTTATCACCTCTCAATAGCTTTTATTTATTTTTTTATTTTTATTGATCATTTGATAAAATAAATTATTCGATCTAGTCACATTTGTTTTGTAAAACTTTTGATATATTTAGTGTAGTTTTTTAATATGTAAAGCTTATTTTTTATTCTTATACCAATTTTTAAATAAAATAATGTCAAAAACATAGGTTTTTGTATTTAACTTTTATTTTTTGAAATATATGATTGTAATTTTAATTATGTACTTAGCGTTACTTTAAATTTCAAGTATAAATTTTAGAATTGATATTTATAATTTCAACCTACTTGTGGGGGTCTAGGGGTGTTGTG